AGAGAATTGCTTAGTAAACTTAGCTGTAATGTTCCTCACTTTCTGCATTATCATGAGAAGTCTCTAGTGACTGATGCCTGAATATTTGTGACTTTGAAATCAAAGTGTGAGATAAGTGGGGAACCATGGTAGCCAGATGAAAAGGGAAATAAAGAGGACCAACATGGAGAAGAAAAGCTGAGCTCCCTGCAAGTGTTGAGGTACACTGGTTTGGAGAGCTGGTATTTTCTGTGATAAGCAGCTAAGATACACAGAAAACTCCTTTTTAAAAAAGCCTTCCATGCAGGAAAAGAGGCCAATTCAGGGTCTTCAAGTGATTAGAAAAGTGGGCCAGAGAAACACAGCTGGGATAGGTTAATCTAAAGGGGAATACACACACACACACACACACACACACACCAGCTTCCTTTTCCTGCCTGGTTGCAATATAAACTCACAGAAAAGATTGGGGTAGGGCAGAAAGAGAAAATTTAATACAGAAATTAATCAGACATTCCAAATGGATTTCGATTTCTCTCATAGTGAGAGAACCAATCTTATATAATGGAAATAATAATTAAACTTACGAAGGAGACAAAGTTGAGGTGTTTGCTTTTTGTGCGCCTTGGAAGTTCATCTGATTTCCACTTTAATGTTGGTTAATTTTATGGTATTAATTTGAACAGTTAATTTATTATTTATATATTCATATATTTAAATATATAGCTAAGGACTTATAGTAAAATCAAAATATACAGTAATATTATTGGAATGAAAATCCAAAGATGTAAAAAAAGGAAGAGAGAGAGTAAAGTCTTTGCTACCTTACACAATAATTTAATAGGAAGTTTGACCCTGAGCTTCCTGGAAACCAGCACACAATGGGATACATTGGTTTACATAGTTGTCCTTAACAACAATTGCAAATCCAGTGTGAAAATAAGTGAAGACACCTTTTCTAAGGAGGTTACAGTTATTTTCTAAGAGAGAGCAAATTTACTTTGGTACTAAATTCTAAGGAGCGTGTGATGTGGAACTCCTATAGGACAGTGTACAACATGATAGTCAATTCATTAGTGACAGTTCCTCAGAAGGGCAACTGTGGTTAGAAACCTCTCCTTTGAGCTCTCTTTGAGCTATCTATCCTCTGTGAAAAGAATTCAGAAAATACGTGTTGCGTGTCATTAGTCACACTTTTCAGAATGGAAGTTTGTTTTTCAATGAGGGCAAATAATGGACTGAGAGTAAAGAGGCTGAGTCAGGGTCTAACAACTGGGGTCTGCCTGTCTCCCAGAACAGCTGTCCCTGGAGTTGCACTGGGATGAGAATGGGCTGAGTCAATAGCTATGAAACCTTTTTAGCTATCAGTACAGAGAAAGGAAGAGATTCACGGATTCAGGACATAACAAGCTTATCTGGTGCAGCCAGTCTTTGTTAATGAAAGGAAACAATAGTAAAAATAATTCCTTTTCCCACCTGTGAGGGTGGGGGATACAGAAAAGTAGGATCTGATGCCATAGTCACCAGAGCTGCTGGAGGAGCAGACACCCATGGAAGGCTTACAGCACAGCATCCCCAGTGGGTGGTGGGGAACCACAGCCAAGGCGATGTGGTTCTGCTCCGTGACCAAGTAGGAAACTTTAAAGAACCCAGAAAACGGGAAAGGAAAGAGCTCACTTCTTTATTTATTTTCTATTTTTAAAAAACATCCACACAATTACAAGACAGTCTGGTGATAATAATAATAACAGTAATAATAGTTGTTACTTGTCGAGTTCCTTCTGTATATTTTACGGTGTTAGAGTTCGCATTCAGCAGTTAACGATGGCCTCTGTAGATCACTTCTATTGCCAGACAGCTATGGCATTAAGAAAGCTATTGGAAAACCACACTAAGTACCCAGAGAAGCATGCAGGCCTTCCTCACTTAGAAAGTCACACCAGAAGACTACTTCTCAAGCCCCTTCCATGTATCAAGTCTTGGAAAACAGTGAATTTGAATAAAATGACCCCATCTGGACATCAAAGAGTTTTGCTATTTGAAATACAGAGATGTCAACAGATAAAACAAGTCAGTGAGAGGAGGCCAGTGGATTCCCTTTTGTCTGGTAATTAGAACCTTCTTTCTTTATACAGAATCTTGCTCTGGCAACACGCACAGCTAGGAAGAGGTGGACGGTAGCATTTCACAGCATGGCCTCCAGAGCCACCCACGCTGCATGGCTCAAATTCTCACCTTCCCAACTGGGTGACAACCGACTTGTTCCTTGCTCATTTGCTCACTCAGAAAATGGTTGTGATAACAGTACTTTTGTCATAGGTTTGATAAACTTATATTATCACATGCCTAATATAGATAGTAATAGTTGCTCTCCAGAACTGTTAGCTTTTTTTTTCTTATACAGGAATATTGGCAACTTAATTATGGTTATTCTGGGTATGTTGTGTTACTATGCATGTCTCAGATGCCTATATAGTGGTATTGCTGGCCTTGCTCCAGACAAGGTAAAATTGCAAACACAATGTTTTGGGTCAAAGTCATCATTCATTCTTGCCAGATACTGTCCAAGGCACACTAGTGATAAAGCACTGGAGAACAGCTAGAGACCTCTGACTGCTTAATGTTCACATTCTGGTGAGGAGAGATTGAGGATAAACAAAGTTAGAACGTACATTTTACAATATGGTAGAAGGTGATAATTGTGTCAATAAAAAATAAAGTTTACTGGTATGGATAATGTTCTTGTGTAGACCTGAGTAACATGGCGACATCTGAACAAAATCTTTTCCTTTTTTCTTCAAATTTTGTGTTAAATATTTATTTATGTATTTGAAAGTCAGAGTTAGAGAAGACAGGGAGAGACAGAGAGAACTCTCATCCACTGATTCACTCCCCAGATGGCTACAGCAGCCAGGGATGGGCCAGGCCAAAGCCAGGAGCTTCATCCCGGTCCCTACATGGGTGGCAGAGACCCACATACTTGAGTCACCTTCCGTTGCTCTTCCCAGGCCATTAGCAGGGAGCTGGCTGAGAACTAGAACAGCCTGAACACTAACTGGTGCCCATGTGGGATGCCGGCATCACAGGCAATGGCTTTACCCACTAGGCCACAACCCTGGCCCCTGTACAAAATCATGAACAAGGGAAGGCGGTGAGGAAGTAGGCCATCAGTTACATGGGGGTGGGGGAGGGGACGAGTCCCAAGCAGAGTGGCCGCTAGCACGAAAACCCTGAGGTGGGAGGATACCTGGCCGGGCAACAGGTCTAGGAATATCAAGAAGGCCATAGTGGCAGAGCTAAGTGGTGAAATGAGAAAGGGAGGAGAGGAGGCCAAAGAAGGACAGGCCACGTGTTGTTCCTGGGCCACTGTATGCATGGTGCTTTTTGTTCTGAGGGAGTCGGGGACCACTTGCACGACTTTGAGAGTGATGTGGACTGCCTTAAAGTTCAAAAAGGATCCCTCGGGTTGCTGTGTGGAGAATGTCTTGTGTGGCGGCACAAGTACCAAAAGGACAAGGGTACTCAATCAGGTGCTGGGAGATGAGACTTGGGCAGTAACAACCATGGGCTGGTAAGGCATTGAAGTCTGGATGTGTTCTGGAAATGGCGCAAAAAGCATATCCTGATGGGTTGGATTTGAAACGTGAGCAAAATAGAAAGCTCAAGAATGACTCCAAGGATTTAGCCCTATAGGAGGAAGACTTCAGTTGGGATAGGGCAGTTGAAGGACAGAGGGAGTAATTTCAGTGTGGGAAATACTAAGTGTGAGAAGCCTGGGAGATAGTCAGGTGGGCAGCTGCTGGGAGCCTGGAGTTCAGGGGACAGGGCCAGGTCGGAGGTGGAATTTGGGAGTCAGCAACACATAGATGGTATTTAGTGCCATGAGACAGGATGAAGTCACCAAAGCAGGAAATGTAGGTTGAGACAAGTGGTCCAAACTTGAAACTCTGGGCACTCCCAGGCTCAGATGCTGGGAGAAGAGAAGGAATTAGCAAAGGAGACAGAAATTGCAACCAGTGGGGTAAGAACACTGCCATGAAAATGTATCTTGAAAGTCAAGCACAGTGACTCCGAGAGTAGAAACTAACCAGCTGCTAATCGCTGCTGACAGTTCAAGTAAAGATGAGGAATGAGAAGCAACCTTTCGGCTTCATCGTTAAATCTCAGCAAGAACGGTTCTAGGCATATGGTAGAAGTACACGCTTGAGTAGGGTAATTGGGAAGCGAGAACTTGGAGGCAGATTTTCTTAACTCTTTAAAGGTGTTTTGCTCTAGCTGAGCAGATAAAAGGGCAAATGGCTGGAGGAGGCAGTGGGAGGGTTTTTTTTTTTTTCTTTTTTTAAGACTGGGTACCTAACACGATTTTATGTTGATGGTGATGACCCAGTAAAAGAAGGGGAAAGTGATGATTGATCAGTGTGTGTTTCTGTGGGGACAAACATCTAGGACAGCAAGGAAAAAAGACAACATTAAACTCCAAGCATGCTGTGGGTGAGTCGGCTTGAGATTAGAAGTCACACTTTTACTTACTATAGGAAAAGTGTATTAAATAAACTACAAAATGACTACTGAGTTCTAGTCACGGTGATGGGTACTTTTGATGCATCACCCGGAAGCCTGTCCACTACCTCGCAGCATCAGTATCATTGCATAGATGAAGACAGTGTCTCTAGGAGCTGCTCGCAAGTTCAAGGGTTTGCCCTTGGTTGCGCTTTCTTGCTGCCGTGAGTTTCTCCAGGGCTGTCGTCCCTCATGTATGTAACCCTAAGGAGACGTCCAGAATTGAGCCAGGTTCACACCCCCGCGTGTGGTGGCCGGGGGCAGGAATTGCACATCAACGCTATTGTCATTGGTCCCAACCATTCAGAAAAAAAAAAAAAAAAAAAAAAGTTTTAACCCTCCTGAGTCCAGCCCTAAGCCGAAGTCGCACTCCAATGAGTTTGCAAAGCTGCTTTCCTGACGCGTCAGGTAAACCTGCCCGCGGGCGACCGGTCGGGTGGAGGTGTGGCCAGCTGGAGTTGTCGGCTAAGGAAATCAGCGCCGGAGGAGAGATACCCTCCCGCCCTTCTGCCAGCTCATTAAAAACAACAACAAAAGTCTTTCCTGCCTTGATGTGAGTGCGGCTCAGAGAAGCTGGTCCCCGGCGAGCGGGCGCTCAGGCCGGCTCCACCAGCAGCTCCCGCCCGGGAGCGGCGCGGCTCGCCCCCTTCACGGCTCCCACTCCCTCGGTGCACGCCGCGCTGCTCACGGAGGGGCCGGGGCGCGCCAGGCGGAGCCGCGCGGAGCCCACCACCGCCGCCGCCCGGGGGAACCGCACGGCGTGACGCGGCTCACCGAGCGCGCTTTCCAGCTCCGGCCGCAGACACCGGCGGCGCCGCAGCACCAGGTGAGGAGAGAGCGCCCGTCGGCCGGCAGCGGGGAGCCGCGCGACTACAGCGCGCCAAGGCGGATCCCCGGGGGCGCGGCCTCCCCCCGCCGCCGAGTTGGTCGCCGCCGGCAGTGCAGGCGAAGAGTTGGGGGCGGAGAGGAGGCAGTGGCGGCGCAGGCCGAGGAGGGGCGCGCTGACCGCGCAGCACCAGTCCCGGGTGGCCGCTAGGCGCACGGCCGCGGCTGGAGCTGCGGCGGGGCGGGGGCCGGGGCCCGGGCCGGAGGGAGGGAGCGAAGGGTGGGCGGGGGCGGGGGCGAGGGCCAGGCCGGAGGGCGGCGGGGCCGGCGGAGAGCGGTCGCCCGGAGGGAAGATGAGACGGTGAGTGGGTGAGTGGGCGCCGGGGCGCAGACTCCCCTTTCTTCTCTTGCAGGCTGCAGGGACAAAAGCCGGGACTGGGGTCGGCGGATCCTGGGCTGCGCAGCTTCGGGGGGCCGTGAACTCCACTGTGCATTACCCTGGGGTGCTGGGTGGACCCTTAGTTGAGGGAATACTGGGAAGGGGGGAGATGCTTTCCGGAGTGCGTGTAGGGAACAGGCAGGATTTGGGGGGACCAGGAGCAACTTTTGCCGACATCTCTGGAATGCGCCTGGAGAGAGGGATCGGACCCTGCGGGCTAGATCCTCAGGAAAAAGAGAAGTTCAGTTGCTGGAAGGCGTGGGGCGCGGGACCTGGGAAGACCCCCGGCCCCCAGATTGCTGGCTAGCAGCGCTTCGAGTTTCATTTCGTCTTCGAAGGAGGAGGCTCGCCGGTGTGAGCCTCCGATTCTGACTCGATCTGAAGTCCCCTGAAAGTTTTTGGCGTGGCCGTCCGCGCACCCCGAGAGATAGCGGCTGGGAGCAGCGGCGAGGGCTGGGACCGGCGTTGCAGCGTCCCGCGCGCAGAGCAGCGAGAGAGAGAGAGAGAGAGAGTCGGACGTTTAGTAACTTAGCACTCACAGTCATCACTTATTAAAGCCTGAGGACCCGGCTGACTCCCGCCACCGCCAGGAAATTAAAAGGCTGACAGGCTGTCCCTCCCAGGGTTGGGGTTTCCTGTTTGAAAGAGCTTTGGAAGTCGAACCTGCCTCCAGCGGCGCCTCCTTTACCTTTCTTATGTAAAAGAGGGAGCGCCGCCCGCCGCCTTCTCGTGGGGCTGGAAATCCTCGTTGCTGGCCCTGCCCACTTGCCTAGACAGAAGTGCTGCTCCGGCTGCTCCGGAGTGGTCCTCGGAGCTCTGGGGCGCAGGGCCAGCCGCTGGGAGAGGCGTGCGAACGTGGAGTCCTTTGGAGAGAAAACCTTTGTCAGCCCCCTTTCCCTTGGTTCTGTGAATGTGTAAATCACAGATGGAGAAGGTCAAGCTTCGGACGTGTGACTTTTCGGCTTTCTGGTGTTTGAGACACATCTCTGGGGGTTCTAACTTCTGAGTTCAGCTGCGAGAAGTCGACGGGGTGGGGGGGTGGGGTGGGGTGTCACAGTTTTGCAGGGTTAAACTTTTGCCCTGTGGGACACTTGAATTCTTGGTTCCTGGTAGGGTAGCAACAGAGTAGTCGGATTTGGGATAAATAAACCTTTAGGGTTGCCCACTATTTAACAGGCTGGCTATATCACTCATGCCATGGCCCTCGATTGTGTAAATATTTGTTTGAATAAGGAGCTAGGGTCTTTGAAAAGTAACAGTTGTGTCTATTAATGGTTCCCCTTTCACATTCTCGATGCAGTTATTTTAAAGGGGGTTTTCCCCTTATACACTTAATGTGGAAATTTAAACATCATATGTACTTAAGAAACTGGAAAGTCTCCCAAACGTTTCTAACAGGCGGTTCCTTTAATAGCAGGAGGGCGCTGAGGCTTTGCCCTTAGCTGACTAGAAGAGCTCTCACCTCCTGGGACCCAGAGGTTTGCGAATCCCAGCCTCTCTCACAAGTGGAAAAATGAAATGTTTGGTTAAGGGTAGTCATCATTTCAGTCAATTCGCAGGCTGCAATCTGTTTCCAACAGCTGGCAGTGCAGCTCCTTGGGGGCTGGGACCCTCTGCAGGGGGTGTCTCCTGGATCCCTGTTTGAGTGGGGGAGGGAAAGAGACTTGGGAAATTGGGCTCTTAGTTGCTGATTTCTCTCTTTAGGAACCTCCCACCACCAGAACCAGAATGCTTTAGCAATAGCAGCCTTTCCAGACATTTTTAACAGATTTATTTATTTATTTATTTTTTTGTAAGGAGGAGGGAAGGAGAAACCAAAGTGATTAAAGCAACCTCTAGCTTTTGCTGTTTTCTTCAAAGCCCTACTTTGAGGTCTTTATTACCAGGGTTGGTTCTGGAGTGCACGCTGGAAGACAGAATTACTTTTAAATACTTTGAAAGAGTATTTGAGGTTTTGGTTAGGTTAGAGTAGTCGAGGTTAGGAAATGCTAATTTTTAACCCTTAGCAGGGAGGCAGTGCTATGGATGACTTGCACATTTTCCAGGTGTGATGCCTACCTGTACTTGGTCAGTCTGTGTGTACTTAACTGGTAAATGTGTAAAAGTCTCCTTTTGAAACAAAAAAGCTTAAAAGTGATAATGATTTATCTAAAGACCCTACTAATATGGGGTACTTTAAAAAGTTCATGAAAAAATGGAATTAAAAGGTAAGTTTACTTTGGTGCAAAAAAGTTAAATCCATGCATAATTTCCCACAATACATGTTTTCCATGAATGTTTTGAAGACCTCTGGTATGTATGGATTTCAATTTTTTTTAGTGCCAAAACTAAGCTTATTTTAAAATTCCATGTCAAGAAACTTGTTGACGTTCCATTAAGCATAAAGCAATAGTTTTCAGTGAGGAGGGGATCTTATCCTACAGGGGATGTTGACAATGCATTTTTGATTGTCTCAACTGGGAACAACAGAAGCTATTGGTTTGCTGTGGGTAGAACCTTGGATGTTCTTCAATAGTATACAATGCACAGGACACACAGACAAAAGTCATCCAACCCCACACCCAGTATTTGAATATTACCTCAAAGGCTTATGTTAACAAGATTAGGGGTCTTAATCTAATTAGATCCTGCAAGAAACTTGTTTAAGACAAAGAGACCAGGTCATAGAAGCCTTTTTTCTGCTTAAGATTCCTTTGCCCTTGACAAGAAGAGTCTTAATATGCCCAGAGGCGAAGGAGCTTGTTGTGTGGGTTGAAGATGGAATTGCATTTCAGTGTTAGACCACAAGGGCCGCAGTGATCAAACCTTTCCTTTTTCATATGTAAAAACTGAGATGCCCAGGGATTAATAACTTATAGGGTCTCAAGTGACTAAGTCTATCTAAGTGTATCCATGCTTAGAGAATTAAAAATTGATATGCGGGCAAATGGGAATTTTAAAAATGCACATAAAACCACTAGATCTGCTTCATCATGAGAGCTTAGAAGCACTGGTCACTGTGAGGAAGGCTGGAGCAGGGTTGGTGTTAGCCATGGTGACTGTGGAGCATATGTCTGGGAGAGTCAGACCCACGAACGGGGTGATCCCATCATGTGACAATGACACGCCCCTTCTGAGGCCTGCAGCATCCTTTCCATGGCAGAGTGGGCAGCAGATGGCTGCACAGGCGTAGCAGATGCCGCCTTTGAATCCAGGTACGAAACAGAAGCTTTGAGCTCTTGCTGCCCTTTCCCTGCCTTATGAGTTAAGCGTAGAGTACATGAATGAACAGGCTTATCTTGGAGGGATGGAAAGACTCCCTCAGTGTGGAGGGATACAAGACAGCTGTCCTACAGGAGGTGAGCCTGTGTTGGGGCAATTGTGGGGGAAAGTCACAAGCAGATGAGTGGGTCTTGAAGAGAGAAGAAATCTGAAGATAATTCAAGCTGGCCTATGATTTGGGCAGGTAGAACAAAATAATTTGGGGGATAAAAGGAGCTTTAACTATCTTATCTGTGTCTTTTGCCTTGAATCCACTCACATACCTAGATAATGGCAGAACCTGCAAACCAAATCCCCTAACTCATGGTCCATTGCAGTTCTCTTACAACCCACACCTCCCCCATTCTGTTTACCTAATCAGGAAGAAAATGATAGTAACTTAAAATTATTGTTAATGCTCTGAGTGAGTTTAAAATGCATGGTAATTGTGAGGGGCTCTGTTTATAGAAAAGGAGTTTTTGATTACTAGAAAAGTTGTGCACATATGGCCTGATCAATTACAAACATGTGTATCCTCACATTTGCATTACCCTGGTTAGCCATGAGGTTCATGATTATGGATTCTAGTTCTGTGTGCCAAGTGGGCCTGCCATGGGAGTTATATTCTCTAAGCCTCAAATCCAGGAGGTTCTGTTGATACAAGAGAGTTTTTTGTATGCCCTTCCTGGAAGAGATAAACACACTGAATAATGCTAAAGTTGTTTCTTATCATTTTGAAACTAGCCAGTGCATGCACTTCAAAGCCAAGTACCTAGCAAGTACCTAGCGGTACATTTAGAAATGACTCAAAATTGTTGACACTTGTAAGGGTGTGCCCCCTGCAGGTGCTATGTTAAAGGGATATAGTAATATTTTCATGGTCATGTTTTGTCTGTCCATTCAATTACTGTTTGCTTCCAAATGATAAGAGAGGAGGCTGAATTAAGTTTTAAAGTAATCATTAGCTGCCAGGATTTATTGGAAATTGATTAGTGTGATGCTTGTTATTTGAAAGGAAATAAGGGCAAAAGCGTAGCTCACATTTTCAACTCCCTTTAAAATAAACATTTAGTCAAGTGGAACAACCACTGTCACCCAGACATTTGAGCTTTCAGAATTTAATTTGTACACAGTTGTTTTCTGGATAGTTAGGTATATTTCTAAGCATAGTTGGAAAGAGTCTTTGTATTGTACTTACTTTAAAGGCAAGATTGTTTTTTCTTTAGCAACTAATGTCCAATTAGAGAAACCAAAGTGTAAAAATCATTCTACTGAGGAATGGGAAAGGTAGTGGTTGCAGAAGTTTGCTATTCAGAGAAACA